CCTCTGCACATTGCAAATTCAAAACTAAATTATGAGGACAATTTAATGAAGTATCAGCTACCACTAAGTAGTTTGAGAGATGAAGAGACAAACCTTGGATGAGCATCGAGGTCGGAAAGAATAGGAAGTCTTGGAAGGAAGCCTTGTGTTGGTGGGGATCCTTGTTGAAGCCAGAGCTGCGTGAGTGGCCATGGCTGCTAACTCAGGGGCTACGTAACTCCACTTCACAAATGTATATCAATTGTAGAACTCTGAAATTGGCATTTGGGTTATACAGAAGCTGCCCTTTTTTAATCATAGATGGAAGGACTGTGGCAACTTGCAATCAAGTGATCTAGAGAGTGTTTTGTGGTGAGAAAGCTGCGAGGGGCAGATACATAAGATAAGGCAGTCTTTTTCGCCTATCAATTTCAGGAAGCCTCTGAACCACAGATCTTTCACCTATGTAACTTTCCAATAATGCCCTCAAGCTATATGTTGCTACAAGAGGATTGTTGGAAGTAGTCCAAGCTGGCACCTGTTCAGTCTGACAAGTCACCGACGTTTCCCTCTCTAATGTCTGCCTCTCATTGATCCAAGTTAATGGGTCATAGCCTATCCATCCACGTCATTTTCGCCCTTGGCTTGGAACAGCAAATACAGAGAAGACATTGGCCAGTGCCTTCACTCGATCCAACCTGACTTTTGCTTAAATAATAACGTTTCATTCTTTGGTTTTTTTCTCCTCCAAGGTTCCACTATTTCTTCCCCTGTAATCTCCAGAATCTCGTCAAAAACCAAATATTAAGTTTTGCTACCTCGCTTTTCCCTGTTAAGATTTAGTTTTTAGCTGGAAGACAAAATGGACGCCCCAGCAACAAGGGATCATTTGGCTTAAGACTGCCACACAAGTTCAAAAATGCAAATAAGAGGAAGGAATGAAATATGTGATTTTCAAATACAAAACAATGGCTGTTCGTTTACAAGGTAGGAAACAGCAAGAATGCTCTTCTACGAACTATTCAACTTTAGAAGGAGCATCCGAGTGATCATAGCACCACATTACGCGATGATGTGTAATGCACATCAAAGTTCGGTTCCAAACGTTTTAAGACAAAATCAAAGATGATAGCTAGAAAATTAACTAATATTCTTAGTCCCGGAGTCGTGGGCGGTGAAAACCAAGGTAACGATACTTTCAAATGGCAGGTTCAACTTCATCAGAGTTTACGGCCACTCCATTTGGGGAATCCTCTGTGCGGAGCTGAGAAGAAACCTCATCAATGGCAGAGTTCAACTGTTCAATCTTCTGTGCCAGCACTTTTCTTGTTTTCTGCAATTTCAATAAAAAGCAAGTACATGTTCGCACATCAAAAACCGAACGGGAACTGTTTAAGAAAAGCACGTAATATTATATTTCTTCTATAAAGGAAGTTCAGAGTTAAAAAGAAAAAAATCCAGAATCAAAAACAAAATATTGTTATCTAAAAATTTTAGACAAATCCTACTGGAAAGGGCCCTGTGTTTAGTTCATAGATTAGTTTTGTATAATCTAGATGGGTGTAGATTTGCTTATCCTGATCCACAAGCTTGCTAATCTTCTAGACTACATACATACAACATATTATAGTCATATTTTATACTAAATACCGACAAACCATATCTCATAAACCAACTGAAAGTGGGATATTTAGTCGATAAGCTTATTTGAATTGTGCAATTGAATCAGTAATCTGTATTTTTTTTTTTTTTTGGTGGGTTTATAATTTGTTAAAGTTAGTATGTACTATAGAAGAACTGTTTTAGATTCATGTGATATGAGTTTATGTGCTCCATAAATTAGAAAACTCGTATCCCAGGATAAGTAAATCCATACATATAAACTCGTATTCCAGTTTATGTACTCCTTTGACCTTATACTACACAAATTTTATGCAAAATTCAAATACCCCCTCGCAGAATTGTCAAAACTGAAGTTACACAAACACATTTTAGCATCTTTGATGATAAGTTGATGAAGGTTGGAAAGAATATATATTTATTACTACTATTATTATTATTTTATATCTGCAAATGTTCGAGCCACCTTATCTCATGGGACAACTCCTTGATCCTAGTACAAGTGGTTGCCAAGAAAACTAACAGAATTTTAAAATCATACGTAGGTGCCCACATGATTTGAACTCATTCCCTCTTAACCCTTTTCTTTCCCAAGCTCCAATTATCATTCTGCCAACTCATGGTGTTTAAGAAGAAAGTGCAACGTTACGAATAAAATCCACGATTGGGTAAATCAATGTCAAGTGAAGATGAAATGTTCATTCACAAGATCACTCGCAACAAATAAAAAGAGATGAGTGGTTTTGCACCTCTAAGGCTTTTTCTTCATCATATATGAACTTGGGAAGTTTCCTCATCAAATCTTTTCGGTCTGTTCCAGCAAGTGCCTTGCTAATCTATAATTCAAACACAAGATCAACTCTCAGTCATAAAAAGACTAGGATTCTGCACTTGAAGCTCAGAGACAATAGTTGTGCATATTTCTACATACCTTCCCTAAGATAGTAACCATAGCACACAAGTAACAGATATACTAGGTGAAATTTCCCATATGTACAATTTAGAGGTCAGATAAGAGATGAAAAAAGTTAAAAACCTGAGGGGCATATACACAGCCAAGCGTACCAACTATGAGCCCTCCCAACACAAAACCTCCAATAAAAATGCCTGCACTGCTTGACCGTCCACCATCACTGCCACAAGGTGCATAATAAACTGCCGTCAGAGCATTTCAAATGAAGCATATAGGACAGACCCATCAAGACATATACAATAAAATAGACATCAACTTGTGCTATGTCCATTTGAAACATATAGGAATACTATTATTAGTTTCCACTCGGAAAAGCGTTATTAACAATTGTTACAGACTAGACATTATTCAACCCTAAGAGTTATTGTTTATTTATTAATTAGTAATTTTTTGGTATAAGAAATGAGGCTTTATAGACAAAGAGATAGAGAAACAATCTAGGCTTGGGGACGATGAATGATGCTTTATAGACAGATAAAGAGAGAGAAACAACCTGAGTGCGGGAAGAAAAATCCCCCTCACGAAAATAGACCATTGGAGCCTTCCAATCATTAGTAATCATCAAAAGACTAAAATTACAACAAAAAAAAAAGCTCGTGTGTTTGGAACACCACCACAATGCTAAGTGTTGTACACGATTACAAAAAGAATCCACCGTAGTCTCCTTGACTTTAAAAATCCTATTTGTTCTCTCCTTCCAAATTAACCAAAGGAGAGAATGGACTACAATTCCACAAAATGTTGGCTGCCTCTAATTCATTATTATTTTTTCCCCTTCTTTTGGGTAGGAAACCTACACGCCTTCATTATGTTGATTTGATCAGTCTTTGACCAAATCAACGAGACTCAGTTTTGAGCATAGCAAACCAAACAGGCCCATCCTTTGGTTGCAAATCTGTTTGAACCAGCTAAAAATTAGTTATGTTCATGGTTGTTGACTACCTGAGATTAACACATTCAATTCAGCTCAGCACGGCAGTTCCTTTTCCAGTTATTGTGCACCCCAATGATAAGCCTACCCACACAAAGATTCTAAACATGCATTCCTACCACGTAAATAGTTTCTCAATGTAGTGATCGATAATAATTTCTTCAAAAAATAGACTCCCTAGACTGTAATGCTATAATATGAGATGACTAAATGGCATATCATTTTAGTAGTGATTTCAAAGATTATACCTATATGCAGCTTGAACTGAAAGTGGCCGCCTAAATGTAGAAAGCTTGGCCTTTCCCACCCAACCAGGATTGAGTAACAAGCGGGTAGGGGAGACACTCCCAAATCGTTTATCAGCAGTTTTCAGATTTGATCCTGGCAGGAAAATTGGCGAGAGTAAACTTAGACTAATACAATTAATGGGTACATACATGTGCACTCTCCTTAGTTCTTCCAAATTATGAAAATGAGAGCAACTACCTACTAGTCATAATTCAATCTTCCAACAATTACAAAAAAGTTCATTAATTTGGAAATCAAGACATCATCGCGATGTAATAAAAACGATAAGATTAATGGCGCCTTTAGACATCATCAAGAAAGAATAAACAGCCCACCATAAACTGCACCAAAATGGAGGAAAATACACACTCCCCTCGCAAATTTCTCCTAGAAAAGGCCGTTTCTACATAGAACACAAAACCGATTTGTGAGCTAAGAGGATGGTCAAAAGTAGCAGGTAGTTAACATTTGAAGCTCGCTGTAACTCAATATACAAATTAGAAGAAAACCCGATATCTAGCGATGGAAATGAGGGCATTTGGCGATGGAAAAATCGAGAACACAAGTCCTAAATCTCCGCACTACAAGATCATCCCCAAAATTAAACCGGAGAGAGAAGTGTTACTAAGATGTGTAAATTGGAAAAGAAACTCAGGAGCAACAGCTAAATTGAATCGATACAAGAAAAAAAAAATACAGGATAAGAAATAACAAATGGGGAGCTTGTGTACTTAACAACGAAAATCTAACACAAGATCAAATGCTGAAGAAATCAGAGAGTGAGAATTACCAGCTGATAACTGGAGTTGAGGGGTTTTCGTTAAAATCAACGAATTGGATATAGCAGACATCGTTGTGTTGAGTCCCAAAGATGAACAGAAGATAGCGAGAGAGTGCGGTTTTGGTTTGGAGGTGAACGTGGAAACGGGCAACGGGAAACAGATTATTACTAGGAAAATATTTTTATTGTTCGATAATATCAATGGCCTTGAGGAAATTATTCCCTGCTTTGCGATCACGATAAACCCTTGAGCTCTTTTTTGCTGCCCTGTGATCTGATGTCAATCCTATCGACGCCCCGCTTTTTTCTGGGCTTTTGGCCCAACATCAAATTAGGAACTTTCTCCCGGGCTTTATTTAAAGTTTTAAAAATAAAAATTTAAAGTGGAAGATATTATTTATCAAATTCCGCCAAGCGTTTGTGGATAGGGATATAATGTGGTCGCTTTACGAACACTTGCTCTGCGTAGTTCAACCGCCATGGCAGTGGCCATAACTAAGAGCTTGGATTCTTGTCCCATTCATCGCCTTCTTCCTCAAATTCGTTCACAATCTACGGCCAACAGAAGAGAAAATGCTAGCCAAGAATTGTTCTCTCTTCCAATTTCAAGAAGGTCTGTGATTTTGATCTCCTCGCTACCTCTCGCTCTTGTTTCCGTATCTCCGTCGTCCGAGGCAAGAGAGAGAAGGAGCAGGAAGACTATTCCTCTCGAGGACTATCTCACCAGCCGTTAGTAGTCTCAATCCTTCATGTATCGTTATCTTCTGAATTTCCTTTTAATACTTCAAATTGGTTGAAAATCCTGAAATCTTGATTAGTAATTACGACCTATTCTTCAAATTCGGTATCTACATTTTATAATCAACCGAAATGAAGTGGGAGTTTTGTTCGTTACGTGTTGAGCTTCTCGTGGAGTGTACAATTCTGTTTCCAGGACTTGGAGGGATCTGTTATGTTTATTGATAACAAATTTAAAAAAAAAATTAAAAAACCCGTCGAAATCTCACTTTAGTGGTTGGAGGATCTGGATTATGAGGAACATTTCTATGCAGCATTTTCTTTGATTCACATTGGCGATGACATTTTGATTGCAGCCAATGGACTGAAGTACTATGATATCGAGGAGGGAAAGGGTCCTGTGGCTGAGAAGGGTTCCACAGTACAGGTAATCTGTTTGGGACATTTTCAGAGCTGTTTTGCCTGTCTTTGAATTTTAACTTTTCTCTGTATTAGCTCTCTATTACAGGTTCACTTTGATTGCCTCTATAGAGGGATTACAGCTGTGTCAAGTCGAGAATCTAAACTCTTGGCTGGAAATCGTATAATCGCCCAGGTTCTTGAACATTTTGCTTATGTGAACTTGATTTCGTTCATCAGTTGTTATCGAAAAAATGAGTGTGTACAATGTGATGTTTAATATTGAAACTACATCATAGGATTAAAATTTCTTTAGTCAACAACTTCAGCTTTTAGGTCAATTCAAGTAACTAAGCGTCTGGATGTAATCTAAAATTCATCTTTATTAGTTAGAGAATTCAATTTCTAATGTATGTTGACCCATGGTTTGATCAGCCTTATGAGTTCAAAGTAGGAGCCCCTCCCGGGAAGGAGAGGAAACGTGATTTTGTGGACAATCCAAATGGCCTGTTTTCAGCACAGGCTGCACCTAAACCCCCACCAGCAATGTACTCCATAACTGAAGGGATGAAAGTTGGGGGAAAGGTAAGTGCATTCTTCTATTCCAAACTTGCACAAGCACATGCTTGATTTGTCTGTAACCTTCTTCTTCCCCATTATATTCTCTCAAGTCTTACCTTTTATTTTTGCGAGGATTTCTTTGGCTTCATTTTCCTTCTTTGTGCAGCGAACGGTGATTGTTCCCCCTGAGGCTGGATATGGTCAAAAGGGAATGAATGAAATCCCAGTAAGTCCCTAAATTTCAGTTGTAGATATTATCGAAATCTCGAGTGTGATATTTTTCCATTACATAAAGTAAGTCCATCATTTGCCTTTTTATTATGTTTGACTTTTTGACCCATCAGCTATTTTTGAAATTTAGTAACATTTACATGTGAATGCATGAAAACTCGGGTCTAAAAAGTTAGGCCCTGAATTTAAGTTGTAAATGTCAATAATTATCCACTACTTAAAGTACGTCAATCATTTACTTTTTTTTATGCGTGACTTTTTTGACAGATCAATTATCCACAACTTTCTTTACAGAATAACTATTTTTAAAACTTTAAAATTGCATTTTAAAAAAAAAATTAAGTTGTAAATGTTAGTGTCGAATTATCCACTAAAGTAAGTCAATCATTTGCCTTTTTTTTCATTTTTTATGCGTGGCTTTTTGACAGATCAACTATTTTTAAAATTGTATGATCACATTTGCATGTGAACCCATGAAAACATGGGATTAAACCCTGGTCTAACTCCTTGGTTTTGTTGTCATATCATTGAATTTGATCTCGGAACATGGCATTGAAAATGTTTTTTCTTTTATCATGAAACATGCGCATATATATTTGGTTTACTTTTTTTTTGCCTATGGTCTTTAGTTTACAAATACCAAACCAAAAGATCTATATACTTCAAGGACAGAATAAGAATATAAAAAATTGTTTAAGAGAAAAATTGAAACTTCAAATGTACTTTTAAAGTGAATAGCAATTCCGAAACCATAAAAAAGTTGTAAAGGGTATATTTCAAAAGTTTAAAAAAGTATGGGCGGAATTAAAAAAATCATAGCTAGTTTATGGACAAAAGCCATAATTTGGCCCCTTTTTGGTATTTTAGTGTGATTAGTGGAGGAATCCAAGAAATGGTGAAGTCAAGTGCCCTTTGGTTTACATATGTTATTTATGCCAATTAGTGCGTGAAGGGTTGAGATAGAGATAAGATGACAACTTTTGAGTTGTATGGTTATCAGATGTACATGTAATCCTGCTTTGTATTGGCAGCCTGGAGCTACTTTTGAATTGAACATCGAGCTTTTAGAAGTGGTGCAGCCTGATAAAGGTGGGGCCTGACCTGATTCGAGAAGCTGATTTTGATCCCCCACAGGACAAGAAGTTGAGCATTAGCTGACTTAGTCCATTGGAAGGAGGAGGAGAAGCACATCCTATTCTTGGGTAGGGGGAGTTTTTCAATGGAACCTTGAGCGATTATTGTCAATAGAACGAAAATGTTAAGACCAGTTATTTTGTATCGTATCTTACCCCGACTGACTCATTGTGACGGTCCTTTAAAATATAACAAAAAGATCCCGCACCAAATTTCTACTTCGGTCCTTGGCTGTGTCGCCTTTTCTCTGCCCCCCTCTCTCTTGCTTTAGCTTTTGAATCCGGTTGGATATTAATTGATAAGAGGTAGAGGGCGGCTCTGATAGGGAAAACGTGACAGCCTTATTTGTATATTGGTGTTATTGTTTTATCAGCAAAAGAAAAAAGCGGAAGTTTCAAGTGTTGTGGATATCAATTTCAGAGAGAGACGCAATGAATTGGTGTTGCTGGCAAGGGGGATTGGATTGGATTGGATTGGATGATTGTCTGAAGTGACATTTTGTGGAGGGATTTTCCCTTCTTGATGGGTCGAAAGTGCCTTGTCATTGCTGGGATGCCTCAGGGCTCCCACCCCCTTTCTGTGAAACCTCCTCCTCCTCTTCTTTGACATTTTCCTTTTGGTCATTTAAGAAAAGGGGAATACTGACTCAAGTCAACAGACAGTTTGTCCACGCAACACCAACACTTTGTTGGTTTTCCCAAACCTCGGATTCAAGTCCAAGTTGAACCCGGTTTAAAAAGATTGAGCGAAATGGAGTGTGTTGTGTTGTAATGTGGAGGAAATGAGCGGGAGATGCAGTGTTCTTACTTTTTGTAGCACCCAAATCCAACTACCTAAAAAGAAAAAAGGATTTGCTCCGTATTTGATCTGATCGGATCAGATCAGATCAGATCACGAGCTGCTGCTTCTCAATTGATTGATGGTTTAGGAGTTGGAGTTGGAATTGGAGTTGGAATTGGAGTTGGAATTGGAATTGGAAAGGCTTTAGTTGTTGGAGGGTTGGGTTTTTGTTCCATTATTTACTTTATTGATACGAAACTGAAGTGTTGGTCGGTTTTCAGGTATTTGTCATGTTGCGAGTTAAAATGAGTATTTTGTGGTGTTTTGGATGTTTTCATGCTTCCTTCCACTTTCAAAAAATTTATTTGAAACTGATCACTGCCTTTTTGAGGAAGTAACTCGTACGTCTTCTAATTTTGATTTAATATCTGACTCCTCTTCTGATCTGAACCCAAACTAAAGAGTTCTGTTTTCTCATACTTCTGCCCTAAAACGTTAATTTTGAAGGAGAGCCTCAACAGGACATTCAGGTGGGAGTGGGAGTGGGAGTGGGAGTGGGAGAGTGTATGTATTCAGTCCTTCCTCATGATTCAAAGCAACATGGATGCTTATAATTTCACATGTAACTCATCGTAGGAATCCTCATGTTTCGAGGGCATTAATATTCTATAAGTAAAGATATAATATAATGTTATATAAATAATTTTTAAAAATTTAAGATATTATTACATATTCTTCAGCGATAAAAAAATAAATAAATTTAAATAAATAAGGTAAATATACAATGTGGTGAAAGGGTTATTTTTCAAACGGGTATCATAAATTTTTTTTTCTTTTTTGTGATATATATATATATATATATATATATATGAATTTACGTAGTGGCGTCTATACAAACGCTGTTAGAAGTGAGGTTAAACGGAAGCCGATTCCCGTGTCCAGTATAAAACCCCCCAAATCCCCTCAAAACGACAGACGTTACGCTCACAGTTGATTTAAAACGACTGCTCTTCCCATCTCTTATCTTATACCCTCTTCCCTCATCTCGCCGCTCCAAATGCGTTCTTTTAGGTACCTCGCCGATGCCAACTCCTCATCCATCTCCGACACGGTGGAGCCCGAGAGGTATGACTCCGACTTCGTCATAATCCTCGCCGCTCTTCTCTGCGCCTTGATATGCGTTCTTGGTCTCGTTGCTGTCGCTCGATGTGCCTGGCTACGCCACCTCGCTGGCGATGGAGGCGGCGCTGCTTCCACTCGTCCTCCTCCGCCTCCTGCCTCCAACAAAGGTCTCAAGAAGAAGATCCTGAGGTCTCTTCCCAAGTACACCTTCACCGCCGAGTTTGCTGCTCAGTTCTCAGATTGCGCGATCTGCCTCGCGGAATTCGTTGTCGGTGATGAAATCCGCGTTCTGCCGCAGTGTGGCCATGGATTTCACGTGTCCTGCATCGATACGTGGTTCCGATCTCACTCCTCCTGTCCTTCATGCCGTCAGATTCTGGTGGTAAGTCAGTGCCAGAAGTGCGGCGGTTTTCCTGCGAGCTCGAGTTCGAACGGTGGGACTGAATCCAGAGTAAAAGATGAAGGAGAAGATAAGAGGAATAGGTTCTTACCTTAGGCCTAGGTTTTTCTTGAACTACTGCGATTCTTGTTCCTTACTTCCTCCGTGCTGTAAATATCTTTCTAAATCAAAATTCATGTAATTACAAGAAGTTGTGGATGTATTCAAATTGTAAGCGGAGGCGATTTCCCTGAATTTGAAATCTGCCGCTCTGGTACGTTCTATCGGGAATATTGACCTCAAATCTGTCGTCGATTTTCAGCCTCGGAACGTAACGGAGACGGCACAATTTTACAGTGCAGGCGCTCAAATCAAAAGGGGAACAGTGTTAGTAGTATCATGTGGATGGTGCACATTGTTTTATGTGGACAACAGTCAATGCGAATTGTTTATTTGCATCTTGAATCGCTCGCATTTTTCAGCTCGAAATGGCTTCCTCTGCCTGCATCTCTCTCTTCACAATGCCAATTTTTGTCTTTCCTGCGCCCAAGCCAAGTGGTGGGATGCGAAAACTTCTGAAAATGGAATCATTCTACCTGCAAATTGCAACTGCTCCCTTTGTGATTAAAAATTTGCAACAGCCCATGGCTGCTGCTGCTGCTGCTCTGTCCTTCTCTCACCATCATCATAACTATCAACTTTATTTAACATAAACTTCACTATGTCTTCAGATTTTGTAAAAAGTAAATAGACGAGGGATCTGAAAACAAAACCATTCTGGCTGAGTGAATAGAATTGAATGAGGGGGATATGAGAATTAATGTAAAAAGTGAATATATATTTTTAGAAATAAAAATTGTTATTATAAGAAAAGCTTAGAAAATGAATGCTTTGTAGAAAAAAGAACTCATAATAGCAAGTTTGAAGGAATCAAAATCAAACAAACCCCACTTTTTTCTCTCTTCCTCTTTCCACATTGGAGTGGGAATTCAAGTTTGTGAGATATCCATTTCACATGCATTCTTTCTGCCTTCCCATTACCACACTTTTTCTCTCCCACTTTTCACCACGCACAGCATTATATAAATGCGACTTCATGTTAAAATATTGATTAATTAAATTTTATTAAAAAACATTCAAATCTTATCTAACATAAACTATATATAATTGCAAATAAACTTAGCATTTGACTAGAAAAAAACGGAGTAAAATAAAAGGAATTTAAAAGAAAAAAGTGTTGATGTGTAGCCCCTTGTTTTTAAAATGGGAACTGGAAATGTGGGTTACCCAAAAATGGGAATGAATTAGGTGAATTGGTATTTGTAATCCAAACAATTTGCAGTTAAACCTCCAACCTCATTCCTATTTACTTTTTTTTTTTTTAATTCCCCAACGCCACACTTTCCAATATTGCGGCCCTTTCTCCTTCTCTCTCTTTCTTTAGCGTCCTTTAACAAAATTCGTTCCTCTAGTGTACATATATTTATATATAAAATACACCACTTATCCTGATAAGTAATACATACATATATATATAATATAATAATTACGTGGCAGTCATCACATGGGCATCATCATGTCTTTAATGCTTCTTACACTTCGTTTCAATTTCCACTTCATCTGCGTACGTGGCACAATCTTAGCCAACAAATAAATCTCATTAGCATAGGTACAACTTTAGAAATAACAATGTAGCTTTAATAATAAAAGAATTATTAAATGGAGAAAAATTAAAAAAATTGAACCCGACGTGAATCGAACACGCAACCTTCTAATCTGGAGTCAGACGCGCTACCATTGCGCCACGGATCCATTTTTTTGTTACTGAGGTCGAGCTTTACTTATATATCTGTATTCCATTTGGTTCCAAAAGCAAAGGTATTCTTGGAAACCCTATCCTCCCGCGGCTCGTTCATTTGCTATGGCGCCTCTTTGCACGTTCCCGTCTCCAAAATTCTAATTTCCCTTTGGCTTTCTTTCAGTATGTTTTCTTCCTGCACATGTAATGGCTTCCAATTGGACTCTTCAGCTACATTCTCATTCTTTCCAGGTAATCGCCTTCCGCTTCTCTTTCTTCCTTAGTTTTGATCATGTTTCTCTTAATTTCGTCGGGAAATGTTCTCTGCCATGTTTATTCACTTTTTAGATCGTATGTGCAGCCATCCGTATGGGCTCGAAAGCCTCCTGCACTGTCCGGTATATTCGAACTCGGAATTGGTTATAAATGCACGAGCATTAGGTATGAGCATTTGAATTGGAATCGGCATGGAATGCGTCGCAAGTCTCTGATTAGAGCGAGTTGGGGTTCCGGGAGCACTGATTCTGGCCGAAATGTCGAAGATGATGAAATTGTGGTCAAGAGTGGTACTGTGGCTGTGGCTTCCAAAGATTTCATCGGGAAAATGAAGGAGATGACTAGTTCCTCGCCTCTAGGCGTTTTCGTGGTAATACATTTTTTTTTTTTTTTTTTTTTT